TCTACTCAAATGCTGAACTTGAGTCATATTAAATTACTGATCCAGTCATTATTAAAAAGAATTATATCGAGGCTTTGCCATATCTTATATCTACTCCAAGTAAAAGAACTACCAGAAAAACCTATATCAGTTAAATTGCAAGAGGAAATCGTATGATTGAAATCATCCATAGCATTTATATGAGGATGTTTCCCCCCTCTCCTTTTACAAACATTAGAATTAATATTAAAGTCACCACCCACACACCAAGGTCCATTTAGGTTCTGAGCAAAATCCGATAAACACTCCCATAGAGGGAATCTCCCCAATCTAGTAGAAGCCGTATAAACAAAAGAGGCACTAAAAATAAAGTCGTTATAGAAAATTTGAACATGAACAACTTGCTAAAAATCAAAAAATGACATTAACATTAAAATCATTATCCCACATAATCCAAATTTTATTAGAACAATTAGCAAAACTATTATGAAAGCCCAAACTAGAGCAGTGGAAGTAATTTTATCACAAGCGATAAAAGATTCAAGTAAAACCAAGAAATAAATATTATGCACACGACATAAATTCCTAACACCAATCTTAGAATCAGACCCCCCGATCCCTCTCACATTCCAAATAAGGGCTTTAATCATTAGAACATTTGATATTAGTTTGAGCCCTAGTAGAACGAGGGGTTTCCGGTAAAACTTTACCCTGTTTCTTTTTTTTTTCTTTTGCATTTTGGGAGATCTTTCCTCCTCAATAGTCTTACCATGCTCACTAGAAACAAAAACGAAGCAAATTTGGGGATAGAAACAGAAGAAGAAGCAGCATCCCCACTCTTTTATTATCAACTTTCTCCATAGAATTAACAAGCTTTTCACTCGGTATGTATTCCGCTTCTTCACATTCCTCCATATACTCGTTCCTCTTGTCAAGGATATCAGTATTAAGCATAAGATTTGGGGAGTCAACATTATTAAGCATAGAATCAACTGAAATAAAAATATTAGGAACTTCTTCACTTTCTTTAATAGTATTTTCAGTATCAACAATTTCTTTCACAGTAGAACTATTAGGGGATTTATCTAAAATAACTAAATTATCTAAAATTAAGATAGGTTCATTTCCAACCCTCTCAACATTGGAATGGATCTCACCCCTAGATACATGAGTCGTAATCTCAGTTTTCTCGCTAGCAGCCTCCGTATTTCCCACCAAACCAGTGGAGTTGTTGGAAATTTTTTTAAGCTCTGGATGGAGTTTGAAACATTCAGATGCCGCATGACCATGAACTTTATAGTGGTTACAAAAATCAAGAATTTTTTCAAATTCATCCTTTTGTAAATACCCAAACGCTTTAGATCCAACCCAAACCTCCTTAGCATGCTTCTTAGTAATATCAACTTCAACTAAAACTCGAGCAACCGACGGCCTAGTTCTAGAGGCAGTGGCTTAGTCCATTTGTAAGGGCCTACCAAATATAGAACCAAGAGCATGCAAGACTTTAGAATTAAAAGAGTGAAGTTTGAGATTCGGAAAATATATCCATATAGGCACTATAGGAGATTCTTCTTTGACATAAAAGAGCAGTGTCCACTTTAAAATATGCATTTGACAGTTTAGAATAAAATAAGATCTACGGGCAAAAACACGACTATAATCCAGATCGCTGGAAAGTTGTATAGAAACATGTTTAGAATCCAGTAAACCCACAGAAAACTTTTTTGAAAGTTTCAGATTTCCAAAAAAAAAATACGAATAGCATCAAGATTTGGACGCCGGACACCAAATTAGCCAACCAGTGTAAAACGAAAAGGGGAAGCTAGTTTTAAAACTTCATCATCAGAGATTAAGACAGCCGACATGCCGTTGAAAGTAGTTTGAGTAAGAGAAGATAATATATCACCTGCCGGACCAGAGAGAACGTCTTTGAAAGACCTAGATTTAGAAGGAGAATGAACCTCCAAATCTAAGTTGAAGAACCCTTTGTTCGGATCTTGACTATGGGAGGAAACATTTACCCAAGGAGTTGAGGAGGAACCCCCGCTCATCGCAGCGATGCCCAGAAGGGCCGAACAGAAGCGCGAACACCAAAAGATGAATAGTAGCAAACGATCGCACACAAACTCTCACAACCAGCACGAAAAGGGGGGAGAAAGCCAAACCCTAGAATCGCCCGAGCGGCGCTAGGGCGAAAGCAGAGAAAGAGAGCAAGAGGATTTTTCTTTGAACTAACTGAGAAGAAAAAAAAGAAATTGCTCTATTTGTATCACTATGCCTTCCCTCTCTTAGTTTTTTTTATTTGCTTTTAGTAATGGGATTATTACTATGCTTTGAAGTTATATATATATATATATATATATATAGAAAGAGAGAGAGATTCCTATGCCTTGAAAGCTAATTGATTGCAATGCCGTCGAAAAAAGCATAAATTATGCTAAAAATACGAGAAATCTCTCGACCCTTTTTTGTAATTATCATTTAAGTGATGATAATTTCACTGCTTTACCAAAAATAATAGTGCCATGTATTTTGAAATTCGCTAGAAAATCTTTCTAGAATCTTGTTCAAAAGAAACAATTTTTTGTAATTTAAGAAACACAGAGTCCTCAAGCTAACTTGTATATATTAAACATATTTAAATTTTTATATCATCTTAGATTGTAATTGATTACATTGGTGATCAATTTGATCCTTATTAATCATAATTTTTGAACCATTTAGCCTTTTTATTTTTTTATTTAATAAGAGATACATTACTTATTGATTTTAAAGATGATATATATAAATATAAATATATATAGTCAAATTTTTTTAAAACAAAAAAAAATAATCTTTTTATTATCGGCTGATAAATCACACTAAAAATTGGTCAAATATTCTGAGTCAATTTGTAATAAAAATATATTAGGAATCGTATTGTTTGAATTTACAATATTTTTCTTACAAGATAACCTTTTTTTTCTTACTTGAGAAAAAGTATTTTCATATTATCCATCTTTCAAACTTTTCTTCATTTGATGAAAGTGAATATTTCTTTTTTTTTTTACATAGCTCACGTTGTCCTGTTGGTTGGGAGCTTAGGCTACAATCAAAGAGATCTTAGCTTCGAGTCCTTGTGTATGCGTGTGTGAGTTTGCCTTCAACCTAAAATGTCCCAAAAAAATATAATCTATCTTTTTTTTTTTTTTTTTCATTTCACATACTGTTCATGTCACTATGATAAAAAAATAGTCCGAAATAATATTAAATTTTTTCATAGAAACGTTTCCCTATTTTTTATTATTTATAAAGTTTTCATAAATGTCAACCATTACATTAATAAAATATACGTTGACATTATGATTAATCTAATGATATAATTGCTTATCATAACAAATTATTTAAATTTATCTAACGTTCTCCATACAAAATTATCTGTTTTTCTGCTTTGTCTTCTTCTCTCGAAATTGCCCAAATCAGAACTAACATTTGAATAATGAAAATTTAAACGACTGCAATATGACAAAGACTTATTTCTCATAGTAACAAGAACCTCAAAGGAAACAAATGTCTATCAGTAGAGCTTTGTCATTTAAGCTTACATATAAGCGTCCTGTATGAGGATAAAGCTCTCAATTACTTAGCCTAAAGACGTGCAAAAACTGGTAACATGTGTCAGTCGTTTAGCACAACAGCATCCTCGAATTTCTCTCCTTCCTACATAACCAACCCAATATTTATTACTCCATAATTAATTATTAATGGTGATTAAGCTACCTACCCCAAAAGAAGTCCACTTGTCCTCTCCAATTACCTTACTCCACACCAAACCTCATCAGCATTGCAGTGAAAATATGGTGCCCAAATTATTATTATTATTATTATTTGAATATGAAATGATTTAAGTGAGGATCTCCTGACACATTTTTCATTAGATTTTAAAGCTTTGTTTGGGAAGGATTTCTTACTGCTTCTTAAAACAATTTTGAAGTACAAAAATTAAAATTTATGTATTAAAAAACTGATTTAAGAAGCAGTAAGAAAGTCATATCAAACATCCTGAGACTTAAATTAATCTCATATTCATAGGTATTTTAGTTATATTTCTGAATTTTATGACATAATTTTGCCTCTCTATGTTCTACAAAAATACTTTCAAAAATAATTGTTTTGCTGTAAACTTATTATAAATTTTATTTTAGTGTTTTGTAATGAAATATAATATCATGGGCAAAGATACTTTTAAATTTTAAAACAAATTTATAAATACTTTGTTAGTGAAGTAATCAAACTTGTGATTTACACTTTGTAAATACTTTGTTTTGTGATTTTGAGGCTCTTTTGCTAGGATATGGGTTATAGGGTATTTACACAATTTGATTATTTAGGCTTGTGTCAGGCCATTGAAATCTAATTTATTCATAGAAGTAACACTTATAATACCCGAAAAAAAAAATTATTATATTTATATATTTGCATCTAATACATCAGAATCTCTAAAAAATTAACAAACTACTGAGGATGAATGGTGATAGCCTTGTTGTTCTTTCTAAGATTTGATTTTTATTATTATGAATGGTACACTTGAGTGTTACTTTTGCAAATATAAAAAATTTGTGAATTGCACATGAAATTTCTTTAAAACTATATAATTTGATATTTACAATATGAGTTTTTTTTTACACTGCAACAATGTTAAATCAGAATTTACATCAGGCTGATAAAACAAAAACAAGAATATTATCATAAGTGAACAAAATTTATATTTGGTTTTATGTTCTTTTTATCTTTCAAGATAAAAATGTTCTTTCAAACTCCATACTTAACAGCTAATATGTATTATACTGAATTAAACAGATTAGTTAGGCAAAATTTCTCGCTTTATATATATATAACAATAAATTAGAGTATCAGAAATGGGGTAGGGCCACACCCAACACTTATAGAAATGTGCTCTCCAATTTTCCTTCCCTTTCACTTAATTCATTGAGCAACAGACCCAGAAAAGTTGCATTAATTCCACCAACAAACAAACAAAAGAGCCAACAAACAGTACCAGTATAAATTTAAAGCTACCCAGTGTCTCTTTTCCAATTAGTAGGAAAACCTAGATATACATTAATTTCATCAAAGCAAATCATTAATTAATATCAGCTCTGCAACATATTACAGCTGCAAGCTATGTTTATGCTTGGAAACCCCAAACTGTAGCACAAACACATGTTTTTACTGCCATTATCTCCGGCTTTAATTGGCTTTTGTGAAGTTGAAGGTAGGCTTATGGTGAGGTCAAGATTGAGGTCTGGTAACTCCTGCCTGGTCTTGTATGAGCCTTTTTCGTCTATAGATTGTTCAGTTTTGGTTGCTGGTTTCGAACTTGTCTTCGTCTGAGCGGTGGCTGCAGGATGGACCGCCGGGCCGGGGGTTGATTGGGTACCGATACCACGGTTGATGAGCTTCCGCTTTATATGAGTGTTCCAATAATTCTTGATCTCATTATCTGTTCTACCAGGAAGTTGTCCAGCAATTAAAGACCACCTATAACAAAAGGATTACCATTAAGCACCGAGTACTTAATTCAATTCAAAAGATGATACTAATGGATTCTCATAATTAGATTATGTGCATAGCATGGAAAAAATTTAAGTTAAGTCATTATTTTCTCGTCTTTGAACAATACTTCTCTTATATGTGAGTGAAGCATTGCTTTTTTGGACAATCCCAACATTAAAAAATGCTAGCATATTTCTTTTACTGTATTAAGAATGCCACAAAAGTGACATTTGAATTTATTCACATTAAAATTTGTGCATATATAGGAACTCTTTTCTAAACGTTGACTCAAGAACATTAAGTTTTTTTCGCATTAAGATTTTTGTATCTGCAGTAAAGAGATTTTGCCAGAAAGTCATTAATCAAAGAACAACTTTTTACATCAGGTACAAGCTTATCCCTGCAAGCATACAAATTTCACTAAAAGAAAAACTACTTACGTGCTATTTTTATGAGGCATTCTCGATTAGAAAAGTTAGATTCTATATAAAACTTCGTAAAGAGCTTCTGTCCAATCTTGAGCCATCTTATCAGTTCAAGCTCCAATAAACCAAACCTAAACATATTTCTACGTAAAAAACATTTTAGCCCGCCGATCAATCACTAACAATGTCAACAAAAGTAAATTTGTTTCGAGTAGCTAGTTTCTAACTTGTTTCCCAAAAGGGAATGAAGTTTGATGATGAGTTCGTCTTCCTCCTCGGTGAAGTTGCCGCGTTTGAGATCAGGCCGAAGATAGTTGATCCATCGAAGGCGACAGCTTTTGCCACATCTGAGTAGACCTGCAAACAACAAAAATAAAAACAGAAACTCTATTCAAAATATTAACATGATTGTATATATATTAATAAGAAGATATATGTATGTAAAGAAGGATGATTTTGTATATTAAAGAAGGTTTTGTGTGTTTAGGGTTAAATGACCTGCTGCCTTTGGAAGAGAACGCCAACATCCTTCCCCATGAGTTTTGATGTAGGTGATGAGCCGCTCATCTTCTTCCTTAGTCCAAGCTCCTTTGTTTGTGTGTGCCTTTTCACAACAGGGAGACCTGCCCATGGTGTGTTGAGATAGAAGAGAAAGAGAGAGAGAGAGAGAGATAAATATCCGAACTTTTTTTTTTTTAATTCCTAGCTTCAAGAGAGGCTACTGAGCAGGTTTGTTATGGTAGAAGAGAAGATGGAAAGATTGAGAGAGTTATAATTTCCTGAAGAGATAGTGGAGAGGAGGTGGATAAGGGGCGGGTTTTAGAGGTAGATTGCTTTGTGGCTTTCACTTTCTTCTTGAGCGTGCTTTGCTTTCCACTTCTCCTTTTAGGGGGAGTTTGGTGGAGGACGGGGAGGTGGATGTAAGAGTACACTAGGAAGAGTAGAAATTGTGGTGGGGCCCATTGACCCCATAATTTTTTTTTTTTATGACGAGGAACTGTCCGTTGTCACACCCGACTTTGTCGAGTGCGCCTAATGGGCCACCCAGTCCACAAACCTATAGCCGACGCTTTGGAGCCCCCACTTAAGGGCCGACTGCCGCTCGAGAGAATCGAACTCGGGATGGGGGTTCCCAACCGAGCTAAGCATCGGTGGCTCCCATAATTATTGGAATGGAGTAAGCGAAATAATGATAATAAAAATTTATCAAAAATAAATTGTTAAAAAAAATTAATATTATAAAACCTATGTTAAAGTTTATGCGAAATCACCATTGCTTTAGGAGGATATATAGATTTTTTCTTAAATAATAATATATGTTTACCTACTCTCTTATATTTGATTGATTCACTTACAGAAGCGAGATAAATAATTATTTAATTACCTTTATTTCTTATGAGTTTAGCAATACTCCCATATAATTTTATAATTATTAGAAGGGTAGCACGTTGAATATGCTTGTAATATGTAGAAATGTCATTAAAAAAAGGTCATATAAATTTTTGTTCAGATTGAGGAGCTGTTTTCTCATTATTTTAAATAATAAATTTTTAAATCAATCTTCAATGGGCATAACATGCACAAAACCATGTAGTTAGAAGGGTGTGGCAATGCTAAAACACATTGATGTGTTTTTCCATCCTTATTTTTATATTAAAACGAGTGGAGGAATTTGTTATGCATCTTATAATCCTTAAAGGGCTAATGCTGAGCTCGAGTCAACCATACAAGTTAAAGGATACTAATTTTACGTGTCAATCGGATCGGGACAAATTAATTAGTGACTACATATAAGCTCATCTTATATCTAGAAAGCTCTAATGCATATCTCATATAATTAATGAGATAAAAATAGCATATTAATTCCCTTTTTGGACATTGTTTTATAAAGCTATATTCTGCCATTCGAGTATAAAATTTTTTAATTTAAACACTCTCATTTAGCCTTGCCTCTACTCTCTCTTATAAATAGGGGATATGTTGGGAAAAGTCTAAGGAAACATAAAAATTTATTTTTCTTGACATCTCTACTTTTGACAAATAATATCATAGAACTTCTCTAATATTCTCTTCCTCTTACTCCCTCCATCCCTCCCTCTTTATCACTCATTTTATTTCTCTATTTTTCGCAGTAAGACCTACAAATAAGACCTAAATACTATCTACAAATAAATTTTAATTCAACAAATCTAATAAAATATTTTAACTTTTTTTTATGGGAAACCCCAAAGGGGCTTACGTGTTAATTAATAAAATGATTTAAGGTACTTAAAGTGAACCTTCAGCTTGCTACTGCTCAAAAGTTTGGAATTTTTAATGCATTATTGGATTTGGGAAATTTGGAATTATTTGCATTATGTTAATGTATTAATTAAGGGGTTAAAGTTTACTTTTAAAACAAAGGTAGGTTTTGGGTATTTAATATTTAGCATGAATATTAGACTTAAAAATTAGTAATTAGACTTTTGTTTCGTTAAAACTCACAGCGGGGCCTGCGCTTTAATCTCAAAATATGGTTATAGAGTCCTTAGAAGGTTCCTTTAGCCTCTACTGCTCAAAAGAACTACAAGATAAAAGAAAACCAAAAAACCTACGAGCCGGTGGATCCTTTTCCTACGAGTACAATAAAAATATAAGAAACTACTCGGGATGTGAGTCAACAACACCCAAAAAAGGAGAAGCAAATTTAACTCATTCAGCACAACTCTCCTGCAAAAAAAAAAAAAAAAAAAAAAAAGATACAAGACAAAGAAATGCCACAACCAAAATAAGCATACCTTGAGTTCATTGAAGCTCCTATTGTTGAAAAACCTGCAAGGTATCCTCAAAATAACCATGAGAAGATTAAAGTAGATGATAGCAGAAATGATATAACAATCTAATATAATAATATAACAGAACTTATAATACCCAAACAGATCCACCATCATACCTTGAAGAGACAGCCAATACCCAAGCTTACAATGACCACACCCAGCAACAAACAGAAACTGGCAATTCACCTAGGCCCCGAAAGCAACAGCCTCTCGACAACAAGATACAAAATAATACCCAACTCTAACCTAGAAAAAATAAAGATGAACAACCAGTAGACAGCAAAGAAAGGCACAAATAACACCCAATACTCACCAACATGGAAATAAAAGACCAAAACAAGGCTAAAAAGCCAGCATATAAAAAAAAATACAGACCAACAACACCAACAGCAACGGAGTAGAGCAAAACAGAGCCAGATGCAGAGAACAACAGAGATCAAACATACCTGATATGAAGCAAAGACGTCTTATCCATAAGAAGCATACCTTTAAGAGAAGGCTCTAAATTGAGAATGTCCAATTCCTCATAGCCAACAAGAGTAGAACCCTTATTAGCTAGCCAATCAGCACAGACATTTCCTTCCCGGAAAATAAGAGAAATATCGAAGTTTATCACGTTCAATAAAGATTTAATTTTCCTAATCAGATAAAAATATTGAGCATTACCAGTAACTCCATCTTTAATAATTTGGACAAGAAAAAGAGCATCCACTTCAATCCAAACAAAGTTAAACCCAATTTTTAAACAAAGTTGTAAACCCATTAGGAGAGCATTCAACTCAGCCATAATAACATCAACCAGCTGCAAAGGAGCAGCAAAGGCAGCACTAATGTCACCAAGGGAGTCACGGATATGACCTCCCGCACCAGGAACGTGCGAACAATTATTTGGTTCGGTGAACGTACGCTCCTCTACGTTCGGCCACCAATATTTTAGCGACACGTAGCATTAAGAAAAGTCGTCGACCCGACCCGCCGTTTTTCAGTATTTAGTTTAACGTAAGGCGGTTTGGGCTTAATCCAATAAACAATAGAGCAAATCGAATTAGAGGTATTCATATCCAGATAAATACCAAAAATCAATGCAAGCTCAGTACACCTAGAAAAGGACTTACTAGAAATAACCTTATAGGTATAAAGCTGCAAAAACCTTTCTTTTCACATTATTAATAATAAGGGCCGCATCCATCTTAATATTCTCATGTTTAGCCTCATTCTAGCTTTCCATATATACCAAAGAATAAGAATAGGCAACAAGTTAAGAATATGGCCTTTAATAGAGTGAAACCAACTCTCTAACATTGAAAGCAAGCTCTGATTAGTCATATTGTTCTTACCCGTAATATTATTAAAATAAAACCAAACTTTTTGTGCAACCAAACCATTGATAAAAGTATGATCAATATCCTCAATATTCGAACAACATAAACACTTAGAAGCTAAAACAATACATTTTTTTTTTAAGCAGATTATCAACTGGAAGAAAGCCTTTAATATATCTCCAAACAAAAGTAGAGTAGGTAATAGGAAAAGTACTGTGCCAAATAGCCGCAAACATCAGAGATTTGTCAACAGAAATATGAAAATTTTCCCAAAGATTGAGTAATTGAAATTTACCATTAGCAGAAATGGAGCATAAAATTTTATCATTACTATCTAATTGTAAAGGAATATTCATGATAACATTAACTAAACAGTTAGGCAAAAACTCCTTTAATTTATTCAAATTCCATATGTTATCCAAAATAAAAGAAGAAACAATAATAGACTCCATAGTGTGAGTATTTAAGTAGGAGTTAATCGAGAAATTACCCAACCAGTTATCCTGCCAAAAAAAGACGTCACCCTTACCCAAATCCCACTGAATAAATTTCTCAGCTTCCCACTTAATGTTGCACAATCTTTTCCACGTCATAGAATCACTATTTTTGAAGTAACAACTAGTCGGGTGCAAATTATTGCAGTATTTAAAATTCATGTAGCGATCCCATAAACTGATGTTAGATTTAAAAGAGAACCACAATTTATGAGAAAAAGCAATAGCAGTATCATTCAAATTCTTACAACCAAGACCCCCTTCCTCTAAAACACCACAATTTTTATGCCAGGCAGCCCAATGGATTGCATTGGTATTAAGTTTTGAACCCCAGAAAACATTGTTAAACATTCTCTCCATTCTAGTACAAATAGAAAAAGAAGGCATTAAAGTGTGAAACAGGTAGATAGGAATCGAATTAAGAACAGACTTCACAAGAACCAAGTGACCTCCAAAAGAGAGAAAGCTTGAGGACCAACTAGCCAACTTCTTTTGGATAATAGTGAAAATATCTTCAAAAAAGAAATTCTTTTTCTTACCTTTGTAAATTAGCGTGCCCAAATATTTAATCGGTAAACTCTTAGGTTGGAATCCACAAACCCTTTGAATAGCAAGAATCCTGATCTGATTTATCGAATTTCCAACAATAAAATTGCTCTTATCTTTGCTGAAGGCAAGACCACTACTAGCATGAAAGTTAGTAAGAAATTGCAATAACATTTTAACATTTTTAATGCGACCATTCGAAAATAAAATGAAATCATCAGCAAAACTCAAATGAGAAATTGGAAAACTTCTTTTAGTATGAAAATTAAGGCTAGTATTCATAGCATAAAGATCATCCAAACCTCTAGATAAATAGTCCATATCAATTATAAAAAGAGCAGGAGAGATAATGTCACCTTGCCGGAGACCTTTGAAAGATTTGAAAAAACCATGATTTCTACCATTTATAATAATAGAGAAAAAACATTTCTCCACACTATTTTTAATCAGCAAAATGAAATATTGACTAAAACCGAATAAGGACAGCACCTTATAAAGAGAATTCCAATCCATATTATCATACGCTTTAGTAATATCCAATTTATAAATAATGTTACCCCCAGTAATCTTAGAGTTAATATCATGAGCAAGCTCTTGAGCAAGTAAAACTTTATCACTAATGCTTCTCCCTTTCACAAAGCCCGTTTGATTTAAAGAGATAATTCTAGGTAAAATAATAGACAAGTTATTAGCAATGATTTTAGAAT